TTCCTGAGCGCTACTTCGGCGCCACGTGCGGAAGCCCCCACCGCTGCGCCGGGGTTGCGGGGCGCACAGCAGAAGAGCTCAGGCTCACCAGACACGGCACCTGAAAACCACTTCGCCTTTTTGGGAAGATGCGGTCGCCAACGGATTTGGGGTTGCAATACTTTTCCAAGCATTGGAACTGGCATTTACTCAAGTTGACTCTGGCTGTTCCTTCTGACCAAGAGTCCTCCATTGTGGAAACAAGTGGTAAAACCCCAATGGGTGTTGATTGATTCTTTGTGGGACTTTAAACACACACCTCTATTCCCACCGGACCTTCCCCCAATTCCTGACTTAACAAGTCAGAGTCAGCTTGAAAAGATTTGGAAGACCATCAATGTTCCCTCTCGCGTGGCCGTGCATGGTCGGCCCAGAAATCAGGGGAGTTCCATGGAGACTTCATCCATTGCGGAGGAATATGTTTCTCCGTTCTTTTGATTTGGGAGTGACACGAACGGAAAAGGCCTCGCAATGATTTGTGCGCCTGGAAGAGGCACAGCCGCCGGCGCCGCCACCGGCCTGGCACTCACCGTGCTGGGCGCGGCCGCCGCCCAGCGCAAGACGGCACGCAAGGCCCTGCGCCGTGAGCTGGCCGTGGCCTATGAGGCAGGAAGTAGTGACTTAGTCAGAGGGCTCTTTGTTGCCAAGTTGAATTGGACCCAAGTTGACTTGAACTGGGCATCCCGGAATCTTCTTTGGCATTGGTTTGTGTTGACAGTGTTTTGAGTTGTTGCAGTGTTTGTATCGTATTGTTTTCCCTTACCGAAACGTGTTGGGCCAAACAACGTGTCCGGTTCGGCCTTGTTTTCAGATTCTCGACCCTTCATTGAGTTTTCACAGCTTTGAGGACCTGGTCTGCTCCCACAGACACAGACGGACAGACAGACGGACACAGACAGAGACAGAGACAGAGACAGAGACGGAGACAGACGACGGACCGACGGACGGACCGACCCACCGACCGACCGACACGCACGGACCCACAAAAAGGGGGCCCTGGGGCGCCACTTGGTTCGTCTGCTCGGCGGCTCCCTCCGCGGTGACAGGACTCTGGCATCGACCTGTTGGACAACGGCAAGTTTGCTCAGGGCACCTTGGATCCAGCTGTGGGCGGAACAGGTGCTTGGGATGAAAAGCAACATGGCCTCCTTAAAGTTCCTTAGTTGACCGTTTTGACTATCAGATTATCATATAATGTCATATATATATATATATTTGTAGACATGATTACGCCAAACTTCAATGATGCTGGCAAGCACTAAGTATTCATCAACGAACATGACTGGTACGTAACGCTTCAAGGATTCTCAAGCGAGTCTGATTAGACTCAAGTTAAGTTAAGTTTCCCTAAGAATCTAGGAGCCAAATCATTCGTGCGCAAGCTATCCTGCATCCTAGCTAGGAACTTCCTATTGCTAGTAGCTCACATCTCCCTTAATTAAGTACGTGCCTACGTAATTAAGTAAGGGGGCTAAATAACGATTCTTTGGTTGCCCAGACCCTTCACAAAGCTCTGAAGACTCCCACTCCTTGATCTCCACACTTGGCCTTTTCGATCTCCCAGGCTTGGTGGGTTCCGAGGGCGCCTGGGGCCGCTATGAGTTCGACCCTTTGGGCTTCTCCAAGAAGACTGAGCTGGTGCCCTACTTCCGTGAGGTGCTAAACCCGTGCGCGCGTGCGCACGTATATAGGTCAGCAGAAGGATGGATGGTTTTTTGAAGCGGCAACAGTGTTGACGTATTTTCAACTCAACCTTCCAACAATGATCGACACTAAAGGGAATAGATTGAATCGATGGAAAGAACGGACAAATGTTCACCGAACCGCAGAGAGTGATCCACATTGCTGGATAAGTTTAGAGATTTTTAGAGATCTTTACAGTCTAGAGTTGGAATAAAGACAAGCTCTTCTCCTAGTAGGCTAGTAACAACGGCATCGCCACTGGGAGCAAGGGCATCGCTACTAGTGGAAAAAACACAAGCTCTTCTTCCTTTCTAGTAGGTTGGAGGCCATCGCTCTTGTGTTGGAGGCCATCGTTCTTTAGTTTTTGAGTCTTGAAGGCCCACTCACGGTGTGCGGACCTATTAGCTCCGGAGCTGGAGGTCAACGTAGTGTGTTCCAGACATTTGCTCTCTCTCTCTCTATATATATAGATACAAGCACTATTGATAAACCATGATAAACCTGTTCAGGAAACTTCTCCAGCCAGGCTGAGCTGAAGCACGGGCGCTTGGCCATGCTCGCCTGGGTGGGCCTGGTGGTGCCAGACTTTGTGCGCCTCCCAGGTTGGGACGCCAGACGTTTATGAGATGATTGGATGTTTTGTGTTGTGTGTTTGTTTCTTTTTTCTTTAAGCAATAGCTTTAATGCTCTGAGGTGGGAGATGACTTGATGCTTTGTGGGAAGACATGATGCCTCCCTCCACAGAACGAGACCAAAGATTGAAACCTCGGAGTTGCATTGCCCCCTGAAAAAAGCAGCAGGAAGCATATGTTGATCACAGGCAGGAAGCACATTTTGTTGTCCTTTTTGTATAGTAAATGCATGTAAATACAAGCACAGGCATCGAACACAGGTCAATTCACGGACCGATTGCAAGTACGTTTGGTGAGTTTGCATAAGTTTACCCGATAACATTTTCACAACAAATTGGGAGACCTTAAGGCCACTACAAAGCAAGTGGTTTCTGTATCAAAGTTGTCCCCAGAAGGCCCCGGAAGGAGACACAGTCACTTTGTAAAAAGTCCAGGGTTTCAGAATTCATAGTAAGATATTTTTGTTGAAGTCCTTGCAATCTGTATGGATGAAGCAACATGACAATCGCCCCTCAGTAGCTTGATGTCCATTCCACACGTTTTACATGGCATATCAATGTATAGTGAACAAACACTTTCTCTATTGTATTATTTCATCCTCAATAACATGTGTAGCCAATCATTTTGTACCAGCCTTTTTTCATATGTTCTTCCATTCTGTAGTTTTCTTGCTGGAAGATCTTGCAGTCTATAGTGATTTCTGCCTGCCCCAAACATTGTATAAAGAGGCCTGCACGACCCGTTCTGAGGAATGTGAATGGCTATCATAAATTGCATACGACCTGTTTTTTTCTTTTTTCTGAAAGGGTAGCATGGCATGGTTCTACCTGAAGGTGTTAGGTCCCATCCGGCGATCCAGTTATGTACCTTAAGTTTCCCTAAAAACCTAGAAATCAAATGAATAGTGCGTGCGTCCTAGGTAGTAGCGTCCTGTAGCTACTAGCTACCTCAGTTCCTTACTTACTTACTTACTTAAGTAGGTAGTCTCTACTTAATTAAGTAGACAGGTGCGCGCAAGTGGGCTCCCCCTAAAACAGCGCTTCATTTTTTTTGTTGCAAGCAGTGTCAACTCAGCGGCCTGCAGGCGAGAAGTTCTCTTTCGAGGCAGTGCCTGTGTCTATTGATGCCCACGATGCTTTCCTTGGTGCCACTGGCGTCAATGCTCAGGCGTGGCACCGGAAGATGAGGATGAGCACGAAACCCTTCAAAGAAGCAAACAGAACTAGCAAGATAACATGTAATGTAATCAATTCTCCAGAAAATAGATATCAGATAGGCCACTCGTCCAAGGTCCTCTTCTGGGTCAGCATCCTGGAGCTCTGCTGCGCCAAGAAGGTCTTCGAGTGGAACTCCGTTGAGGTGGCTGGCGACTATGGCCTTACCAGTTTGTTCCCCAGTGACGAGGATGGGAAAAGGCAGAGCGGAAAAGGTGTATGGCCAAGAAACAGGGAGAGTTTCGGAGAAAACAGGCCGACAATGGATGAAAGCAAGTATAGAACCAGGTGGGTTGAGCCAACGGAATTGATACTTTTTTGTAGATAGGTTGGACTCTTGACTTTTTATGACATTCACACTCAAAATGTAGAGTACCATTCTTTCTTGACCTACAGTTGGGCTCTCCAGGAGGGTCAGAAGAAGATGCGCCTGGCCGAGCTCAAGAACGGCCGCTTGGCCATGCTGGCCTTCGCAGGAGCGGTGACGCAAGCGGCCCTGACTCGTCATCCTTTCCCATGGCTGTGTCCTGGATTTGATTGAGATGAGTTGCATGCATTGGATTGCCCCATTTGGCAAACCGTAGGAAGCAGCTTTCGCACTGGCACCACCATCCCTCCACAAATGAAAAGGGTCGGGGAAGAATGGAGCATGGCCCTACTGTGGGAGGAAGAAACACAGAAAGCTTGGAGGCAAACAGGATTTCTGAACATCAACCTGGAGGGCTGCTATCCGATGTAGCCCGAATTGGACAGTCCTTTGCTTCAAGAAACGATATTGTTTTAAAAGCCAATGGCAGTTCCTTTGCAGCAACGGGGACTACACCTCAGTGAAAGCTGAATCGCCTAAAGAACCCCTCTCTGCCAGCGATGTATGTATGTAAATATATATATATATATATATGTGGCAGGGACCTTTTGGTAACATTTCGTTGCGGATGAAAAGCACCGGCACATTTCTCACTAGCGCGCACAGGTCTCATTTGCCCATGCCACCACGCACAGGGGAAGGAGAAACCGGACGTCGCGGGTCCTTAGATCGGTTTCTCATTGTTTTTCATTGTTCAATTATTGCACATGTATATTGGGAAGCATGCGTTGCAACTAATGAATCAGCCAAAGCGTCGTCCACTGATCTCTGGCCTGTGTGAAAATTCTCCCAGTAGAACACTCCTGGCTTTGTGCCTTGGATACAAGCGCTGATGGCTGATGGTTCCCGAAGCCTAGAACGGTTGGCATGACGTTCAAAAGCTTGTTACGCTTTTCAAAAGAGTACGGCCGCTTTTGCGTTCAAGCCAGGCTGCGGCTTTCGATCTTGCGCCAGCTCAAGTTGTACGCCTTTTCCTCACAAAGGTACCGATTGAAAAATCTTTTCGATAACCATCAACCGGATTGATTCCCGCGCAGATATGAACATAGTGTTTGGTGAATTCAATTCATGAGTGGCTTCGTGCCAAAACAAATGAGGCTCCCAAAAGCCACGTGATCATACGGTTGAAAGAGTTAAAAGAATGTCTCCGTCATTTTCGCATGCCAATCATCCTTGCGTCTTTGCAACGCGTCGAACCATCCTTTGGAAGGGACAGAGGCCTCCACCATTTCCTCAGCGTGCAACTCTGAAACGCCCAGGGCGCATTGATTGAATTGTTTGTCCATGTCGGGCCGCCAGAAATATGTTGATTTGAGCGTTAAGCAAAAGTTCCTGCAACTCCGTAACTTGCCCGCAATTCTGCCAAATCTGAGACCCTGGCGTGCCATCTGGGCTTGAAGCCCCTGCCAGGTGGTGCGGATGTAAATGGTCTACGCAGGTAAACTGTAAAGAAAGAGCCACTCTTGCAAAGCAATACATGTTCTTTTTGGTGGCTAGAATCAGACTCTGCTCCACATGGATTGTGAAACTAACAAGCGCAAAACACAAGCCAGAGCACAAACCTATGTACGTTTTTGTTGAAGCATCAGCTTTCGTAAGCTCAACAAATCATATGTTTCTATGTTCGCTCGGCACCATAGTTCTAGTTTCTCTTTGGAGCGGCGTCCTACACCACCGGAGTATGGATTTCGTCGCCCGACTCACCTTTCTGCACCCGGAATACAATCCGACGGGTCACGAAAGCATTGTCTCCCCAACGACGCACTGGCCTTGCCACCGTGGACACCATATACATCGACGGGTCCCGTAGCTCCTGGATGGGGCAACCACATACCATGACTTACAAAAAAGAATAAGCATGAATAGCACGTATATTGTTGATGCTTTGACAGTTTGCATGGCTTTTGAAGAGTTTGTTTGCTTTTGTTGTGTTTACTCTTCTTCACACTCCGCAGACCTTCGCAGGACAATGATACTTGGCTAAGATCCTTTATCTAAGCTTACTGTTCTGCTTCGACTCTTCACCTCCACCTCGCCAGATCCCCGATTCGACGAAGCGGGTGTCCTTGGACTTCTCAAGGGCAAACTCCAAGAGCTTTGCCGCATGCTGTGGTGGAAGGCCTGGGACATCGCAAACATCCGATGGTTAAAAACACAAAACAAACAATGCACTTCCAAGTCTGTCAAAAGAAGTCCTTCATCAAAAGGATTCTGATCAAAACCTTTCAACCAGCTCTCTGGAGAACATGTGAAAAAAGAAAAGTCTGATACCTTCTATACATCTCAAATATCATTACATCTGTGTCTTCATAACTCTACGCCGTTCCAGTGGCCTGTCACTGCGACGAGCGCTTCGTTTTGTACCGAAGGACCACCTTTTTGCACCTGGCTCCTCAGTGACGACCACATATCCATCCGACCGGGAAGATCGAAAGCGGACGTTCACAATCCACCGAAACATTGCTTTTGGTTCAAGGGGCGACCATCTGCATGGAAGTCTATCATAGAAATTAAGGGGGGACCATCTGGATGGACGCTGTATTACAACTCACCGACTGCCCTCGACCAAAATCTAATCTCTGAGAATCAAATTGGATTAAAGTTCACAGGGTATGTTTCTTGAAGTGCTTCACTGTCAGTCTCTATGTTTCACTTCAGATCCCCACAGAAGCCGCTCCATGGTTATTGGATCAATGCCTTCCGGGCCTGAGCCACGAAAAGACAGTCGATCCGAGAAACTTTCCCATTCGTTTCCAGGAGACAACTGAAGAAGCCATGCCATGGTATGTGAAAAGTAAGGAACTAAGCAGTAAATTGATTTTAGTGTTTATGTGAGGAAAACACCTCTTGATATGGGTAGTGGCCCTGTCATCGACCATCTCCCCACTCCTCACCTGAAGGTGCTGCATTTTGCAGACCTTTCGCAGCTCCTGTGCCAAGCTTTCCGCATTCAATCGGATCAAGGAAAACCTAATGCAGCCTATAGGCAAACCGACCTGGCGATGATCTGTGATTGGTAGATCACTTGTCAATGTGTCAACTTGTCAACGGCTAATGCGTTTGTGTCACTCATTCACTAATAGCCGAAGTGTCTCGCATCACGACAATCAAACATGATTCGAAAAAAACGGCGCGGAGCGCTTCGGCGTAATCCGCCTGGAGGAAGCTTCTCAGCGACCTGCAGCCATGAAGATTTCGTAAAGTTCCCTCATGACACATGTCGTGGCGTCGTTGCTGTGCTAACTGTTCTCAGAATGTGCACTGTGTAGTTTGTTCTGTCCTATTTCAATCCGTACCCTTGCGCACAGCTGAACGCTCAGCATGAGAGCCGGGCCTCTTCGGCTCGCGCAACACACTGCTTCTTTGCCGCAGCGCCGCGCTCACCTGTCATGCCGGTGGCGCATCTTTGGGTATGAATATGCCATATAATGTTCCGCTGTACCTTCTTGTCTACAACATATGATGTTTGATCAATATTCTTTCATCCTGGAATGGCCATTCATCGCGAAAAAGCAGATATCTTTCGCGGATCTTTCGCGACCTCATCGCGAAGCATGTTCCTCAAGAGAGGTTGGTTACTTAACATGTTTTGGGTGAGTCAGAGAGTCATGTATATTTATATATAGAGATACGGTGGGCGGAAGAAGAAATCCTGCACCACTTTGATACAGCCGTCATCCAAAGCTGACAGACCAGCAGCCCCACATCCCTATTCCAGGTCGTTGGGGTATGGGGGTGGGGTCAAGTTTGGTAGGCAGAACTTTATCGGCACATTCGTGAAACTTTCGCGGATCTTTCGCGAAAAATCATTAATGATTTCCCCATTGGCTCAAACTGGCTCAGCCAGGTGATTGCACTTTGGCTGTATTTGGCGCCATCTCTGTGGCTAGATTGCTTCAAGCACAAATGCCTCTGACAACTATACACATCTGTGATCTATGACACATAATACAGGAATCCCACAAACATACGCTACACTACACATTGACATCCCAAAACAAACTGAAACCAAGTAAAGTTCTACGTAGAAGCTTTTTATCCAGTGGGCCATAAAAGGAGAACCAATATTAAAACCAGAACCTTCGATAAATCTTTCGCGAAAAACATGTACTTTCGCGAACCTCATCGCGAAGCTTTCGCGGAGGGTTTTAACAACATCTAAAAGGCTGTTTTATATTAAACTCCTTACGCTGGGTTTTCGATCATCTCCCATATGGCTCACAACTACTTTTTGGACATGCCCGGAAGGACTCGATTCGCCGTCAAACCCGGGTATAGGCCTTCCACGGCAAGTCCATACCAATCTGCCATCCGCTTGGCGCGCCGCTCTCTGCGCGCCATGGCAAAGGGCCAAGGGGTGAAAAGCGGAGCAACCGTAAACATAGAACATTGCAGTCAACAATGAAACATCTGTCCTTTATTGCCTTTTGAACGGATGACTTTTGTGACATTGAAACCCATTGAAACCCACGACACTTCCGCGCACCCATGGGGAAAAAAGGAAAAACTATAGCCAACAGTTCACATCGACATGCATGGTGAAGCGTTTCGTTTAGTCTCTCGGTCTCTCGTCTATTGTTTTTCGTCTTAGTCAGTCAGAATACAGCAGCATATGAAAACTATTTAGCGCATTTAGCACATTAGTCTTTTGTTGTCTACCAGAAAAAACGTCCAGCCAGCAATCAAGTTTTGCGTATTAGCGCTGTGCACGTCCATCCTACACACATATGATATGGCACGCAGTGAAACCTAACTATAACTCCACCATCTGCAAGAAATAGAAAAAGCTAAATTATCCTTTTTGTAACAAATACTATTTGCTGTCCCCGAAATTTTTCGAATCAGTCTACCATGTCAACACTACCTTAAAACAACAAATAGTAGTAATAGTAGTCGGGATGCGCTTAGCAATGAAAGGTGATGAACCAAAATAAATTGGAAAGAGAAATCACATCACCAGAAACAAAACCCATGCATGCCAGATGCACCACTTGTTAACTCACAACCCTGGTACGGGAAGAAAGGAGACCGGGACCAGCGCAGCAAACCAGCCGTGCAAGGGTGGCTCAAAGAAGAAACCTACCACCCCAAAATTTAACCAAAAAGGTCGCAACGAATGAAGACCCCTTCATAAAGGAGAGTGCGGGCGGATCAAAAAGAGAAAAGGACACAAC